GGCCCATCAGAACAATACCCCAATCCCTTGTACCAACTTCTGTTTTTGTCATTTTTCTTTTGCTGTAAACACATCACCACCGCGGCAACTGTTATAAAAGAAAACACTGAATTGGGTCTGTTTTACATTTTCAGAGATTTATCCATTATCATCATGGCAAGAAGTATAGTGGCATGCAGGCAGATGGTGCTGGAGAGGTAGCTGAGAGTTCTATAACCACACTAGCAGGCAGCAGGAAGAGAGAGGCTGGGCCTGGTTTGAGCTTCTGAAACATCAAAGCCCATCTTCAGTGACGTCCTCTAAAAGGCCACATGTACTCTAACAAGGTCACACCTCCTAATAGTGCCACTCCTTGGTGGCCATTCAAATCAGTGAGCCTGTGGGGGGCATTTTGATTCAAACCACCACAGTATGTTATACACATATATGAAAACGCTGTGATGAAATCTGTTTGAATAATTATAATACGATTCTGGAAGAGGAAACATTATTTATAACTTCCAAACTTAGAGTTGGGTAAATGTCTGTTTGTATCCCTGGTGCTTCTTGGAGACTCTTTTAGTGCTTTCTCTTGATTGCAGTAATAAGGATAATATAAAATAGTGACCGTGTTGATGTGACTGGAAGGAAAGGAATAGAAATACAAATGAAATCAATAATTCTACAAATAAGTTTCATGATTCAATTCTGGCTGTATGAAGTAGACAGGAAATCTCTTGGTAGTTACCTTGATATTTCTATTCCTTCCATAGCTTTTTATATTTTTGTCCAAAGTGATTCATGATATACTGAAATTAAAAGAAGGCTTGTTTCCCAAGCAAATAGTAGGGTTTCTCTGTATTTATATTAAGCTTATGTTTTTTTATTTTTTTTAGTTTTTTTGTATTATATAGTCTGTTTTTCTCCATTTTCTGTAACCTTATATGATAAATATAATCTTTTAATTATATTTTTGGTAAATTATATAAATACCCAATTACTAAAACTGAAAAATTCTACTCTTCGCTGTACCTACTTCTGGAGTTTAGAGAGGAAACAATGTCAGTTGTCAGGGGTGAATGTCAGACTGTGGAACTTTTTGTTTCTCTTTTCTTTCTTTTTTTGATTTTGCATCTTCTTTAGTGAGAGTTAGAAGTAAATTAAACGTTTTTATTCTCTTCTAGTTTTTCATAGGTACCTGTGAATTATATTAACCTAAAGCATAGAACGGAGGGACATGCCCTTCCTCTGTTGGTCTGAGAAGTATAGAGAAGAGGGGCTTGCCCTTCTGTGTTGGTCTAAAGAAGTGTAGACAGGAGGGACATCCCCTTTTCTATCTTGTAAGCTATACCAAACTAATTTTTTGATAAAGAAGATGGTAGGTTTTTGTGGTGATTTTATCAGAGCTAAATTATAATAACCAAGTTACATTTATGATAATCAGTTTCTAGAAATATTATAGCATTAGAATTACATAAAATTGTCTGCTATTAAAATGATGTTATAAGTCAATATTGGAATTTTTATACTGAGTGACTTAGAATATATACATACACAGATGTTAGTATATATTCTTTTAAGATTATTTTTTCAGGCCCTTTTATTGTACTAAAAAAGCAGTCAAAATTATAAAAATGTCCTAACTATAAAATTTCATAAGCTAGTTAGGTTTTCCATTGCTGTGATAAAACACCATGACAAGGAAGGATTTATTTGGGCTTATGGTTCCAGAGGTAAAGGGTCTGTCACGGCAGGGAGGGGTCAACCATGGCAGCTAAAGCAACACGCTGAATATTCATGTCTTAAATCACAAGCAGGAAGCAGAGTGAATGGGGGAATGGCAGGAGTCTTTTAAACCGTGTAAGTCTGCTCACAGTGCCACACTCCCCAACTACAAGGCCATGCCTCCCAAGCCTTCCCAAATAGTGCCAGCAACCCAGACCAAGTATGCTAACATCCTTGCCTATGGGGTACACTGTCACTTGAACCACTACAGTGGTTATAATCTCAGGACTTGAAGGTATAGGCAAAGCAGATCAGGACTGAGACCAGCCCTTGCCATGTAAAATTCACTGCCTTAAAAAGTAAATTGTTGAAAAGAGTTATTTATTTATTTATTTACTTACTTACTTTTGTGTGACTGGAGGGACAGCCGTGGGTGCTGGCAACAAAAACTTAATTTACTGTTATTTAATAATTAAGGATTTCCTTGCTGCTACTGGAGGTTTGTTTGTTTGTTTGTTTGTTTGTTTGTTTGTTTTGAAAATTACTGTGTTTCTAGGATGGCCTTGAACCTGGGCCATCCCTCCCAGCCTCAGAAATATGGGTATTACCAAGGAAATTGGGGTTCCCTTTCAGGTTCTTAGTTATTTGTTAATTATGTAATTTCAATTCTTATGGAAGCTCAAGAACAAATTTATTAAAGTTTGGGAGCAAAACTACAGGCCAGGCAAGCTTTAAATCTTGGTGACAGCCAGGAGGAAGGAGATGAGAAAGAGAAAGGAAGTTAGGGTCTAATCAGTGCAACACATTCAGCAATGGAAGTTAGCAGGTAGCTGCATGGCGGAAGCGTGGGGACTTCAGGAAAGACTGAGGAAGCACAGAGTGGTAAAGAATGCATGTGGAGGCTGCTGGCCAGTATCTGAAAAAAAGATGTAGAGAAATGAGAAGGAAAACTTAAGCTTTTTGAGTCAAGACTCAGAAGAACTGACAGACTTTGCAGTACTATTTGACAGAAACCCTGTAAACTTGGGAGAGGTGCCTCTGGGAAGGAAAGGTACATTATCTCACTAAGGGGATAATTATTCCTCCCACCTCTGTAGCACAGCTTCAGGTAAATCAGCAGATTGACAGGTCCAGATGGATTAACTTTCAAAGGAGGTGGCAATACTGTGTAACATTCTAATCTTTCAGCAGATTGTACTGCCATGTCTCTATGCGGGTCAGAAGTAGAGCTCAAATTCTATTCTTTTGACCAGGAAGAAGTAACTTTTCCTTAGTGGGCTTCAGTAAGGCCTGTATAGCTCCAGTTTTTAATGTTGCATTAAGGAAGTGCCACTGTGATGTTTAACTTTCTGGTTATTACCAGGGAAACAGGAGGTAGGGTCCAAAGCTGACCATGAATGAAAGGTACATCCACGGTAAAGTCTTAGCTGCCAATCCATGGAACACTGGGATTATTGGCATGAGCTTATTTTATTATTTTATTATTATTTTCTGGCTTCCTTTACATTCTCATAAGTGAGAATTCTGTGTAAGCGTGTTCCCTTAATAAAATATTAGTCAGTTCCAATATAAATGTTACATCACATCGTGACCTAGAGCCACTCATGTTTGAGTGGCATTCTAATTTGCTTAGTCATTGGCTTTTAATTATCTGTAAACATTCACATACACATGATATGTAATTTTTATATATGATAAAATACACTCTTTTAAAGAAAATACTTTGAAATTTGACCAGTATAACCACAAACAAAATACAGTGTTTTCTCTTGACCTCACAGCAAGCCTCTCTCACCCACAGTCATCTTTTCTTCTTCCTTAGTCGCGGGTGGTCCTTTTCCATTACTGTGAATTGGTACTTCTCAACCTCCGCTCCACCTTAACACTGTTAGTATTTTAGTAAGTGGGATTTTGGAGGGAGCCAGAGTGTCGTACTTTGTCATGTAGGTATTTTAGCAGCATCTCTGGACCTCTGCCCATCAGCTGCCAGTGGATCTCTCCTTCCACTTTCTCAGTTGTGACAACTGAGATGCCTATTGCCAAATGCCCTCTTGGAGCAAAAGGGCATGCACCCACCTGAGAACCATGGCTTACTCTAAGATCATTCTTCCAGTGCTAGCGTTTCACCCAAATAGAACTATATAGGATATGGTCTCTGTACCTCTTTCTTTCTGCTCAATAGAATGACTCAAGATTTATAAAGGCTGTTATACAAATGCTATTTGCTTTCTTTTTATTGAGTGGGAGGTCCATATTTAGTAATAGGCTACATTCTATTTAACTATTTCCTTTTTATATTTCTCTGAATCTCTCATTGAATTTAACATTTATTTTTGAGAATATTTTTCATTAATTGATTCTTTTACTAGTTACCCGTCACAGTGTTCATTTTTCATATTTTTTGGATGTTGACCACATTTTTAATTTCATGATGATTGCAGGTTTGCTTTTAATTTTTAAAAATAATAGTGGATACTTTTTGGCAGAGAGTTACTTGTATATCGTCTTAATTTTCTAAGGTGATCGTTTTTGTTTGGAGCTGGGCACAAAGGCACACACTTATAGCCCCAGTGCTCTGGAGTGTGAGGCAGGAACATGCTGAGTACAGTGTCCATGCCATAGTGGGATCATAAAAAGCTTTCCTTGTAAACTTAGATATCCTTATCAATTATTAGTTATGCATACAAATGCAATTCTCGCTGTGGTAAATGTGGGATGATGGATGATATCTGTCAGCCTTTTAAGACTAATTAAAAAATTACATCATGGACACCTCACCCAGACTGTTCTCTCTGCCTGTTGTATGTGTGTACATATGTACAGGAATACAGTAGTTCGTCCTTACCTGTAGCTTCACCTTTCATGGTCAGTTACACAGTACCAGCCAAAGTCTGAAAGTATTAAGTAGGAAATTCCAAAACTTAGTAAGTTATAATCTGAAAATCACATGTTGTTATAGGTAATCTAATGAGATCCTCTGTTACCTACTCACTTTTTCCTGTCCTGCATGTGAAATATCCCATCTAGATGTGTGCTATGGTGCTATGTGTATATGTGGTTTGCCTGTTAGTCATTTAGTGGCCATTCTGATAATTGCCAATTGTAATATAATATTACTGATGTTCAGTTAATTTACTTAATGGCTCCAGTATGCACAGTGGAATGCTGTCATTTTCTTGTGAGAAGTTATCGTTGCTTTATTTTGTTATTAGTGTTACTGTTAACCCTGTTCACTTCAGTATGGATGTTTGATTCTATCTAGTTGTAATATTCTACCATGTTGTTTTTCTTCCTAGACAGTGATATCGGAAAACTGTTATCCTGCTTCAAAATGTCTGATAAACAAACTGAGTGGATAGAAAACTGCCGAAGACAGTTCTGTAAAACAATGAAGTCCAGGCCGGATGCAGTCAGTGGAGGTGGTGAGTGTGCTATTTTCTACTGGGATCTGCCTGCATAAAATTATTTCAGCAGAAGCTGTGGCTCCTGAAGATTTCTACCTGTGCGTGCAGGAAACATAATGCTAGTTGGGAAAGTCCACTGCCCCCTCCTTCTCAAGGGACCTATAATTCCGAGAGAATCAAAGGCCAAAGAATTCCTAAGCGTTTTTACAGACTGGCCTGTCTATACATGTAGCCAGCAGGTTTGAGGTTTCCGTCTTTCCTGAGGCTGCAGTTTATCTGGTTTAAACAGTCGTCTTTCATATATGGTGTTGCTGTATCTTTGTAGAACTCTTACCAGTTTTCCAGTAACGTAAGTATCTTAGAAACATCACTAGGCGTCCACCAACGAAACTGAATGATTCCTAAGGAAGCTTTGTTTTGAAGGAATGCCTCCAGTTTAAACTTATCAGCAAGTTTAACCTCAGTTGTTTACATGTGCTGTAGTTTCCCGAAGCCGTAACATTGATCTGATTCTGTTTTAAGATAGATTTCCTAAAAGCTATCATTTAGAAGTGACTTCATTTCATCAGCCATACTTAGAGGGTTTCATATTTGTTGTAAAATTAAAATCAAGAATTTAAAAATTAACTTTACACCTTGCTGGAAAATGGTCTTTTTAGAGATGAATAAAATATTTATATAGCAACAAAATCACAAATTATTCTCCACAGTATGAGTATAAATGAGCAGTTAAACCATGTTTAGTCTTCCTGAAGATTTACAAAGTGCAGTGGTGGTGCATGTCTTTAATCTCAGCACTCTGGAAATAGAGGCAGGTGGATCTCTGTGAGTTTGAGATCAGGATGGTCTATAGAGGGAGTTACAAGACAGGCTCCAAAGTTGCAGAGAAACCCTATCATCTTGAAAAAAATATAGATATAATATTTATTAAAATATATACATATATATGATACTATATAAACTATATATATATATATATATGTTTAATATTTTAGTTAGGGTTTCCATTGCTGTGAAGAGACACCATGACCATGGCTAAATCTTATAAAATCCAACATTTAATTGGGGCTTGCTTACTGGTTCAGAAGTTTAGTTCATTGGCATCATGACAGGAAGCATGGTGGCTTGCAGGCAGACGGGTCTGGAGAAGTAATTGAAAGTTCAACATTTGGATCTGCAGGCTGCAGGAAGACAGGGTGAATCATTAGGCCTTGCTTAAACTTCTAAAACCTCAAAGCCCACTCCCAGTGACACACTTCCTCCAACAAGACCACACCTACTCTAACAAGGCCACACCTTTAATAATGCCATTCCCTGTGAGCCTATGGGCATGATTTATAAATATGTGTGTGTGTGTGTGTGTGTATGAATGACTTGGATGTATATATATATGTATATAATTAGCTCTTGATTGTATAATAGAGATATTTAAAATGGATTTTCTCAGTGGGTTTTGCACATGCCCAAAAATGCATAATAAATTAGGAGAGGAGTGGCTTGGAATGAATGGTTCATTTAAATACCTCCTAAAATGTAGTTTTAAGTGTTTCTGTTTCACAGAGAAACAAGAGAAATGTCACTTGGCTATCCATTATCTTTTTGAAATGGGATGTATAAACTCAATAGATGAGAGTTCTTTTTGGTAACTAGGGCACTGTCCACATCCTCTTCCTCAGTTATTCTTTGTTGATTCTGTGTCCACCTACTGCGAGCTACTTCCAATTATAGATCCATTCTTCTCTGCCTGATGCTTAGTTGCTTACACAAGACTCATTTATACCCCACAGTGACCCTACTATGTAGTCTACATTTTATCAGTGGTGATAAAATTCATAGTTTTAGGTAACAGCTTAGCTTGCAATAGAAGAACCAAGAGGAGAATCCAGGTAACCCCGATGTCAAAAGCCTTGTGTCACTTTTCTGTGCCACCATTCTATAGCTATCATTTTTTTCTATCGGAGACAATATTTTTCAGCTAGACAGAGACAAGAAAAACACTGGCTTAGGAATAAATTGTCTCACCTCAGTATCTCATAGCGCACTTGTTTCCTACCACAACCCGCTCAGATTGAGTCCTGACCCCAGAATTTGGTAGTGAGGGAGTGAAAACCTAATATATGGTTCTGCTATCTCCACAACTAGGAACCTCAGTGTGTTTATTAGTATGCTACATGGGGAAAGGTTAGTTAATCTTGGTAGGAAGTATCTGCAGGTGAGCCCTGTCAAGGTACATACACACACACACACACACACACACACACACACACACACACACACTCACCCTACACACATACATAGTCTACCCCTGCAGTCTTGGGTAGCTTGGGTTCTAAATGTGAGTGACCTACAGTCAGGCAATTTAAAGCTTTGTAAATTACCCTTTGTATGTTAACCTATTCTGAGTTTTTCTTTAAGACATTTATGTAATGCTTCATAATATACAATAGTCCTCCCGTTTGTTAGCATGTTCATAATTATGAGAGAATGAGTAGTTTTAAATGTCTGTTTGATTAAAAAGGTCCAGATGAAGGAAGGGAAAGACAAAAGGAAATGTAACTAACAGTCTGAGTACCTGCTCGCTGACCATACTCTTCC